CAATGAACATTTAGGGCTTTTCTTGTACATTCTATAACTTTGCAAAGAAAGATCCCCGAGAGCTGAGAGAACTACTGCGCATTATTGCATATATCACAAAAACTGAAGCCACTCCATTGTATCACTAACAGACGGCCAAATTATATTTCGCAGTCTCATTTGTACAACAATATTTTCAAATTGATTAAAAGGCAATAACAATTAATGTTTAGTCTTTCGATGGTAAAAACTAGATATGTTTGTAAAGCTGGCAGTACGGTAGCTACAATTCTGCCCCTGTTCTGTGAATTTGGCGCTCAGTTTCAACTTTAAAATGTAGAAATTATCAAAACTTCTTACCATTGAAGGAATATTGAAAACTAAATATACTCAGAATATAATTGTTCAACCATGCACATACTGTCTATTTGTAATAAACTAGTCTGCTCTTTTGAAACAAGCCGTTCGAGCACAGTGGAGTAATGTCTTTTGTCTGATTTTGCAAAAATATTACAATCACATTTTTACTTCTTAACTGTGTATGAAATGCTCGTTTCTATTATATATCAATAGAAAACGAAGCCCAAAACTTAATATGCATTATACTTTCTTTCAATACGGCAACTTTCTCTTTTTTACCATTTTTGTAAAATCAGACAAAGGACCTTATTACACTGTACTCGAACGGCTTCTTTCGAAAACGTAGACTAGTTTAGTAAAGATAGACAGTATCTGACCGCATGGACAATTACATTCTGAATATATTTAGTTCTCAACATTCCTCTAATGGCATGAAGTTTCGATAATTTATAATGTGCTATGCATATTAAATTTTGGGCTTCCTTTTCTATTAATATATAATAAAAAGCAGCATTTCATACACAGGTAAGAAGTAAAATGTGATTGTAATATTTTTGCAAAATCAGACAAAAGACATTACTACACTGTGCTCGAAGAATTGTAGCTACCGTACTGCCAACTCTACGAACATATCAATTATATACAATTATATTCTGAGTATATTTAGTTTTCAATATTCCTTCAGTGGTAAGAAGTATTGATAATTTCTGCATTTTAAAGTTGAAACTGACCGCCGAATTCACAGAACAGGAGCGGAATTGTAGCTACCGTACTGCCAACTTTACAAACATATCTAGTTTTTACCATCGAATAATATAGGTTGTACAAATGAGACTGAGAAATATAGGCCGTCTGTTAGTGATACAATGGAGTGGCTTCAGTTTTTGTGATATATACTCAAGAAGAAAATCTTCTGTTTCTGTTTCAGTATCTTCTGACTCCTTATACCAGTTTTTCGCGGTAGCTACAATTCTGCTCCTGTTTTGCAAAAATATTACAATCACATTTTTACTTCTTAACTGTGTATGAAATGCTCGTTTTTATTACATATTAATATTTATTATAATTAAACAAAGTTGTTTGATCATAATAGAGAGAAAGAAATGCATATTTCCGGCTCACCACTTGAAAGTAAGTGGTCTATACGAGTTTGTGAGCAAATATCAGAAGAAAAGAAAGAGTAAAAGTGAAAAAGAATTCCGCAGTCAAACGGCAACAGAAGCACCCACTCAAGTCAAGAAAGTGAAGGTATACATGGCGGGATATGCTTTCATGATGTAAAGTGAACTTTCGGGAACATCGCTGTCTACGGCTCCTGTCACTGGATAATATGTAAATTTTTCAATATAGAAGTTATATCGGATCGCCGTCGGGTACCCCCGCTAGTATATTAATATTTATTATAATTAAACAAAGTTGTTTGGATCATAATAGAGAGAAAGAAATGCATGTTTCCGGCTCACCACTTGAAAGTAAGTGAAATTTCATTTAGAGCGAGAAACTCTTACAGTATTTTTTGTACTTTAGTTCACGAAATGGATAAAGAATGTGGGAGTGACAGTATTGATTACGAAGAGAACAAAATTGAAGAAGGATTCTTGGTGCAGAAATCCACTAATGATAATTATGTATTGGTAAACACGCGCATCGATTATGAGTGTCGACCAACCGAAATAGAAACGGACTGTCTATACGAGTTTGTGAGCAAATATCAGAAGAAAAGAAAGAGTAAAAGTGAAAAAGAATTCCACAGTCAAACGGCAACAGAAGCACCCACTCAAGTCAAGAAAGTGAAGGTCGGACGTTCACCTCTTCCTCGTTGCCAGTTTCTCGACAGGCATCCACGATGCAAAACACACATATTGAAAGAAAGAACTCAAAGAAAAGAAGAAACAAATAATACCCATGTTAATTGGACCGCAAATACCTCGACGAGAACGAGAAAATACCAGAGAACGATACTGTCGAGCCATCTTGACACTGTTCAAGCCTTGGAGAAATGTGCAAGATTTATGTGGTAATGATCAGACATGGACGAAGCTCTCGAAAAGCAAAACCATTTAATATCATCAGCTTCCAGTCAAATCATCGAAAATATTCAGTTACTTCATGAGTGTCGGAAAGAAGGTAATGATAAACGACTGATACAAATTCTCGAAGAATCCAACAGAGAAGACACAGAAACAGTATCACTTCGAAAACATCATAATATGAGTCAGGATACTGATGATGACGAAACAGAGCAAGATCTTATAGAATTATTCAACTTTCACGAGAGTACAAATAAAACGGATTCAAGTGTTTAACCTCGCTGCCAGATTATGTTCAAAATGCCGCTGAAGTGCTCGAGAAAGCAAATCGTTTTGCACATTTGACAAGTACACGATTATCATACAGTCTGATCTATTATCATTTGTTTCTTTTCTTTCAGGCAGTATTTCAAGTGCCCATTCGTCTATGGACTACCGTTCGTATTTTACACCAGCAACGCCTGATGATCGCAAACTAAGTATCATATGGCAAAAGACGTTAGTGCAAGATAAAGAAAATGTTCGTGCAGCCTTATTGAAAGGCAGCAAAGAGGACGATACACAACCAGACGAAGATCAACTAAATCTGATCAGCAGAGATATCACAATTATGCGAGATGAACACAGTGACAGTACCGACACTATTCTTCCAATAACAGCGATAACGACAGAAAGTTCAGATTCGATGCCGGAACAAATATCGATTGAATTTACATTAAATGAAGAACAACATCAAGCATTTGTGATAATTACTGCTCATCTCGAAGGCAAAAGTTTTTTGAAATCAGGTAAGACAGTTTTGTTCTTTAATGAGAATATGTTAATATTATATTATATAGCCGATAAGCAAGAACAACTACTGATGTGTGTACCAGATCCTGGTGGAACGGGAAAATCACAACTGCTCAAAGCACTCACCAAGTGTTTTGAAGTCACAAATAGAAAATACTTCTTGCGAAAGTTAGCCTCAACGTCAATAGCTGCATCTGAAATTAATGGTCTTACAATTCACTCGTTCCTAGGACCGATTAGTTATGCAAAGAAATAGACGACAACTCGTCCTGGAGCGGTAAAGGTGACCAGGAACTGGCATCACGTTCACTACATATTCATCGACGAGATGTCAATGGTTGGTCTGCATCTTTTCTCACAAATTCATAAACTTTTGTGTATTGCCAAGAGCAAGTCAACTGAGCCGTTCGGTGGAATCAACGTGGTATTTTTCGGCGATTTTATCCAATATCCGCCCGTGTTAGACAAGCCATTATATGGCGATATGTTGGCAGAACAAAACAATACGAGAATCAAATCGAAACAAAAAACTGAACTTGATACTCAATATGAAGTCGGACGTGCACTGTGGTTACAAATAAACACGGTAGTTCAGTTGACCAGACAAATCAGAACCGATGATCCTGCATTCTTAGAGGCTCAAAATCGATTACGTTACGGACGGTGTACAACAGAAGATCATAAATTACTTTCAAGACGAGTGACTGGTCATCAAAGCTGTCCGGTCAAATCATTGGACGATATCGCAAAGAACATTTAGGGCTTTTCTTGTACATTCTATAACTTTGCAAAGAAAGATCCCCGAGAGCTGAGAGAACTACTGCGCATTATTGCATATATCACAAAAACTGAAGCCACTCCATTGTATCACTAACAGACGGCCAAATTATATTTCGCAGTCTCATTTGTACAACAATATTTTCAAATTGATTAAAAGGCAATAACAATTAATGTTTAGTCTTTCGATGGTAAAAACTAGATATGTTTGTAAAGCTGGCAGTACGGTAGCTACAATTCTGCCCCTGTTCTGTGAATTTGGCGCTCAGTTTCAACTTTAAAATGTAGAAATTATCAAAACTTCTTACCATTGAAGGAATATTGAAAACTAAATATACTCAGAATATAATTGTTCAACCATGCACATACTGTCTATTTGTAATAAACTAGTCTGCTCTTTTGAAACAAGCCGTTCGAGCACAGTGGAGTAATGTCTTTTGTCTGATTTTGCAAAAATATTACAATCACATTTTTACTTCTTAACTGTGTATGAAATGCTCGTTTCTATTATATATCAATAGAAAACGAAGCCCAAAACTTAATATGCATTATACTTTCTTTCAATACGGCAACTTTCTCTTTTTTACCATTTTTGTAAAATCAGACAAAGGACCTTATTACACTGTACTCGAACGGCTTCTTTCGAAAACGTAGACTAGTTTAGTAAAGATAGACAGTATCTGACCGCATGGACAATTACATTCTGAATATATTTAGTTCTCAACATTCCTCTAATGGCATGAAGTTTCGATAATTTATAATGTGCTATGCATATTAAATTTTGGGCTTCCTTTTCTATTAATATATAATAAAAAGCAGCATTTCATACACAGGTAAGAAGTAAAATGTGATTGTAATATTTTTGCAAAATCAGACAAAAGACATTACTACACTGTGCTCGAACGGCTTGTTTCAAAATAGTAGACTAGTTTATTAAAAATAGACAGTATGTGCATGCTTGAACAATTATATTCTGAGTATATTTAGTTTTCAATATTCCTGAGAAATATAATTTGGCCGTCTGCTAGTGATACAATGGAGTGGCTTCAGTTTTTGTGATATATGCAATAATGCGCAGTAGTTCTCTCAGCTCTCGGGGATCTTTCTTTGCAAAGTTATAGAATGTACAAGAAAAGCCCTAAATGTTCATTG